CACATCTGATTTGAAAGTTTCTAGGAGTGGAAGTGTTTAAATGGGGATAGAAGATGTAGTTGGTAGATGGGGAAGAAAGAGGGCTAACCAAAAATAAAGATTTATGACAAAGTTTTATGGAAATCTATTATCACTTGAATTTTTCATCTTTATTTTTGACCTTAATACTCAACATTCTATAATTTTTCTTAATAATTATCTTTTAGTGTCCATTTTTTTCTTTTCCTTTATTGCCTTTTATAATGATAAAGGCATTTGCTAGATACATGAACTTAATTTTGTTGACTATATTTCATCAATTATAGCAAATATGGTTTCATAAATTTCTAATTATTTTTAAACAGTGTCTTAGTGTTTCTAGTTTTATTTAATGCTTTCATTTAATTTTTGAAATGATTGTACTATCATTTTATATACTTAACAACTTGTAATGTTTGATATACTTATGTATATTTTGAAAAAGGATGAGCATCACTTTAAATAGTGGATTATCATTTATATATCATATATGAGCATTCTTTTGAATGAACCATGAGCATGATTATGCTTGCAAGTATATGGGCATGTTTCATTTCAGAATAGTGGTCAGAATTTGGCAGACAACCTCAGCTATTGATCATAAATGACAGAAAACAGAGGGCAGTAATATAGTTTGCCAACAACTACACTCAAATTTCGTAATTCCAAAGCATGTCATATGTGTTATTTCTAGAACTAGTGGATGCAGTCTAATTTCCAAACATAATGGTAAAAATTGCCACTGCTGGGCATTCTATATTAAATTATACTGACAAACCTGAGAGGTATTGACAATTAGTGAATTTAAAGCCTCTATTATTCTCCGTATTTCTCTGTAGATTAGTGCTGAGTTTTTAATCCCTGAAGAGAGTCCCATATGGTAAACAGTTTCAAATTTCCTTCAGTTTCCCTTGAACCTGTTTTTTCTGTCTTTTGCATTTCATATCATAAATCACTTTACTGTTTGTACTCTCAGCCTTCCAAAATTCTTCCTAGCATTTGACTTAATGAATATCCTGATTGGTGATGGTTTATTTTTGTTCAGGATAGAAATATTTGTGCTTAAACATAAGTGCAAGGTGCTGGAGTAATTATCAATGATTAAGAGTATTTGCTGCTTTTCCAAGGGACTGGAATTCTGTTTGCAGGATCCACATCAGGTCAGTTACAACCTTTGTAGTTCCAGGGGATTCAACAACCTTTTCAAAAACATTGGAAACCACACACATGTGGCATATTCTCACAGAGACACATGCATATAGAAAAAAAAACCCCACAAAAACCTTAAGGGGAAAATGAAAAGGTGATAAATTTGTGTGAAAATCTACAATATTGTCAGAGAGCAGAGATCATAGGCTTTCTGACCTACCCATAGGCCTGAACAACAAGATCTAGTTCAATGGTTACCCTGTATCAACAAGATACAATAAAGTGAACAGGGAAAACACTCAAGCCAGCATACTACTAGAGCTATACATGGGCACATAAACAACTCTCTTGTACTATACCCCCCACACACTAATTAAACAGAAAGCATAGCAAAAATAATAAAATTCAGTTCTTACAAATTTGTTATATACATTTATTATCTAAATATAAGTACATAAGTACATTTTATACATCTGCATTTGACATTTATAGGAGGTATATTATAAACCAATTCTAGCTACAAGTCTTCAAGTAGTTAGATTTTCTCATAAAAAAATCTTTCAAAACAATAAATGAAAAGCAAGCTATAATTTTGGCCATTTATCAATTTCAGATTTCCCTCAAAAAATAATAGTGAACCTTAAAGTTTCTGGCATAAAAACCATAAAATGTTAATGAGTTCTGATGGATTTTATAACAGTAAACAGAAGAATGGAAAGGAAAGTAGAGAGCCATTCATAATTCTTTAAAAAATAAGTTCTCATGGCAAATAAAAGTTTCTTAATATGAGCTATGAGATTCAAATATAAAGGAATTCAAGAACTTTACCAATAATTTGTTTTGAAAACTTGCTGATTTGCAAAAGAAAGATGAATTTAAAAATGAGAATATTTTATCATAGTATTTATAAGTAGAAATAAAATCCTGTCCCCATCCTCTTCTCCAGGGTACCATGCATGTCTCTCTTAGGGTACTCCCTGTTTCCCAGCCTCTCGGTCTGTGTGGATTATAGGCTGGCCATCCCCTGCTCCATATCTAAAATCCATATGAGTTGGTACATAACATGTTTATCTTTTTGTGACTGGGTTACCTCTCTCAGGATGGTTGATTCTATTGACATCCATTTGCCTGCAAATTTCAAGATTCCATTGTTTTTTTTTCTCCTGAGTAATAATACTCCATTGTATAAATGTACCATATTTTCTCTATCCATTCTTCAGATGAGGGGCATATAGGTTGCTTCAAGGTTCTGACTATTACAAATAATGCTACTATGAACATAGTTGAACAGATGTCCTTGTTGTATGAATGTGCATCTTTGGGTATATGCTTAAGAGTGGAATTGCTGGATCTTGTGGTAGACTGATTCATGTATTAATTTCCAAAGTGGCTGTACAAGTTGGCACTCCCATCAGCAGTGGAGGAGTATTCCCACTTCTCTACATCCTCTCCAGCATTAACTGCCATTGGTATTTTTGATTTTAGCTATTCTGACAGGAGCAAAATGGTATCTCAGAGTTGATCTGATTTTCATTTCCCCGATGGCTAAGGATGTTGAGCACTTTCTTCAAATGTCTATTTTAGACTCCTCTATTGAGAATTCTCTGTGTAGTTCTGTACCCTGCTTTTTAATTGGATTATTTGGCATTTTGGAGACTAGCTTCATGAATTCCTTGTAAATTTTGGAGATCATCCCTTTGTCAGATGTGAGGTTGCTGAATATCTTTTCCCATTCTGTGGGCTATTGTTTTGTCTTGCTGACTGTGTCCTTTGCCTTACAGAAGCTTCTCAGTTTCAGGAGGTCCCATTTATTAATTGTCGATCTCAGTGTCTGTGCTACTGTTATTATGTTCAGGAAGCCATCCCTGTACCAGTTTGCTCGTGGGTACTTCCTATTTTCTAAGATGTTCAGTTTGGCTGGATTTATTTGAGGTCTTTGATCCATTTGCACTTAAGTTTTGTGCATGGTGATAGATATGGGTCTATCTGCAGTCTTCTACATGCCAGCATCCAGTTTTGCCAGCCCCATTTGTTGAAGATGCTTCCTTTTTTTTCCAGTGTATAGTTTTAGCTTCTTTGCCATAAACTATGTGTCCATAGGTGTATGGGTTAATATCAGGGTTTCCAATTTGATTCCATTGGTCTACCTGTCTACTTTTTGTGCCAATACCAAACTGATTTTAGGACTGTAGCTCTATAATAGAGCTTGAAGTCAGGTATGGTGATGCCTCCAGAAATTCCTTTATTGTACAGGGTTGTATTATTAACTCAAAAGAATGTATACATTTTCAATCATGAACTTGGCATGGGGAATATGAAATTACTTTCAAGATATTTAGAGATAATTTTTCATTTCTTTTTTGAATGAACTATTAACTGCAAATGAAGATTTATCTTCATGTCTCTCATAAAAAAATTGAAACTAAAAGCACATGAAAGAGACAATATGTGTGGTTGTATATATGTGTGTGTATAAGCAATCACTAGGTGCATAGATTTGTTCATAATATTATATATAATGTCCATGCAATTTATATTTTCATTAATTTATTCATTGATTTGGACTTGGCTTACAAATATTGCTAAGCAAAAAAATAGAGTTAAGGAAAAAATTTTCAAATTTATTTTAATATTGAAAATAGCTCTTACCATTGCACTTAATTATATTGAATATAAAGTAAAAGCATGATTCATGTAGAGTAATTGATGTCTTCCAAAATGAATATGGAAACAAACAAACTTTGAAGATAATTTGCATACTGTTATTTTGGAAATTTTGAGTTATAATCAGATAAGAGAATATAGTATTTTAATAATTATTTCAATAACCCATTGTTACTTTCCTACTTTTGTTGTTGTTTGCTTTCTTTATTTATTTTCCTAGATATTAGAAACATTGTTCAAACCACAATAGGATGTTGTTTTTTAAGGAAAAGAAAGAACATGTCAGAATGCAAGTTGATTGGCATCTTTGAATGCCAATAGGTAGCAGTTTCTTACAAAAGCAAATAGGTTCACCTTCTAGAGAGTAACTGAGCATGAAGAAGAATGGCACAACCTTGTATGTAATATTTGTTAAGGTCTCATTTCACCGAGTTTGAGTTTTAGGTGTTCCAAGAAAAAGCTACTATTTCCTTTAAATTCAAATATACTTTAGAAAATTATAAGGTTCTTTGTTAGTGTTTTTTGAAATCTTACTAATGATTTATGCTTGCTAACCATTTTCTTTGGACTTACACATTTTGTGAGAAGTCAAGTAAAAGAATACACAGTGATTATTTTCTTGGATCTAGCACACTCTTTATAGCCCCATAAAGAAGGACGATATTAATCTTTCATTCATTCATATGAAAAGGTAGCATTTGCTTTAATTTGATATCAGAAACAGATGACTTTCCTACTTTATCAAGTGTCCCAATAGGTAGCATGTTGTCTAGACTATCCCAAGTCTTATTTCTATGGTATAAATATGCAACATAGATTCTATTTCCTACTTTAGGGGTGGATTCATGTTGTTTGCTTTAAATAAATTTGCTTAAACATAACCTGCTGAAACTTATTGCCTATTAAAATATGCCTACATAGAAAAATGATCTAGTTATAGAATTGTTTAGAAATGCAGTTATTTAATTGTCAGTAATAGTACTATATAGCATGGAAGGGATGCAAAGGTATTTTGTGTAAATTAGTATGGTTATATTATTTGAGGAGACTGCAAACTCAAATTTTTATTGAATGTAAATGGTGCATTCAGTATGTAAGACACCATCATTTGAACAATATTACAAGTAATTTTTTTTAAAGAATAAGTCTCGTCTTTCTGCCATCTTGGCGCCGGGGGAGGCCTGCTGGGAACAGGACTTCTGAAAGGCAAATATGTCTGGAAGGCTGTGGTGCAAGGCCATTTTTGCTGGCTATAAGCGAGGTCTATGTAAGCAGAGAGGGCACACAGCTCTTCTTAAAATTGAAGGTGTTTATGCCCGAGCTGAAACGGAATTCTACTTGGGCAAGAGATATGCTTACGTGTATAAAGAAAAAAACAACACAGTGACACTTAGGTGCAAACCAAACAAAGCCAGAGTGATCTGGGGAAAAGTAACCAAGGCCCATGGAAACAGTGGCATGGTTCATGCCAAATTCCGAAGCAACCTTCCTGCAAAGGTCATTGGACACAGAATCCGTGTGGTGCTGTACCCTTCCAGGATTTAAACTAATGAAAAGTATATAAATAAAAGTGGATTTGAAAAAAAAAGAATAAGTCTCTCTTTTCAGAAAATAGCACATTAAAAGCTGTGTTTAGCCTAGTTCTGTCATCATGCATGTGTTAGTAGGGCAACAGAGTAGATGAGGCATATTATAATCACGATGTTTATCATGCGTAATTACCATACAGAAGTTGTACTATATGCCACTGACAAGCATGGATCTGTACTTGCAGATTTATGTTCTTTCAGGTTCCTAAGCAGAACTCATTAGGTCGTAAACCAGGAGAAGCAGATGGAAAACTCTACAGAGTATAATAGAGCAAAGTACGATTGTAGAGGGAAGAAAGTTTCCTTCAGCAAAGCTACTGAAATTCAGGAAGCTAAAGAAACAGTCTACAGCTGACCCCAAAAGAGCACCTGGACACCTTTAACATGTCTTAATGTTTATCATTCCATAAAAAAATGGTGTGTGTGTATGTGTTGTGTGTGTGTGTGTGTGTGTGTGTGTGTGTGTGTGTGTGTGTGTGTGTGTGTGTAACAGGGGAGTAGAAGCCTTTGATAAGGGAGAGACACAGAGACAGAGATGACAAAGAGACAAAGGAGAATATGAGTTTTTTTCTTCTTTACAGATTAATACAAAGCGTGCCTTATTGGATAACAATTAAAAACATAGACCATAAAGCCTCAACTCAGTAGACAGATGATTTTGGATTCATTTATTCTCTTACTTTTCTTTTCCTAATGACAATAACAAAATTATGAAGAGTCATATGAGTTAAATAAAGTGAGAATTAAATAGTAAGCTTTATATAACATGGGCATTTATTTTCCTGATTCTATTAATGAGAAAATATCTTAGAGTTGAGTGAGAGTCAACACAACTATATTGTTGTCAAAGAAAAACACGCAAAACAACTGCCCTCAGCACATGATGCTATGACGCTCCACAAGAAATCACATAACATGAATAATTTGTTCTTTTTCATGATGTACTTGGATGAATAGATGCATATTTGAGACTTACTTACTTAGAGTCATTCTCACACTGTAACAATGTCTCCTTGTATAATCTTAGTGTGACTTAGCTATAACCACTGAGGAGGAAAGGCCTCTTTTTTTTTTTTTTTTTTTCAGGGTATCTATCTGTCCTTGGCTGGCTCCAAAATTATTTTATTAACATAAGCCAACAATGTGCAAAGCTCTTAGTATGTTAGATACACCTCATATTTACTGGTAACACAATGAATAAATCAAGTCATGTAGTTTTGTCCATGGTAAAAAAAAAAAAGGTCACTATTCAAAACTTTAGATATTGGCAGACAGAGAGATTACTGTCTGTATGTATCTATGTAACTGAAAATCCTTAGATGTTTAAATATGATAATTTACTAAGTTTTCCTTAAAACATTTGCAAACTATAGAATGAGCACATGTATTTGCTCATGAACAAATGTTTGTTTATCCTGATTATTTCTCTTTTTCTCTCTCTCATCCTTTTTTATCTTTGTCTTTTTTGTCTCCCTATGCAATATTTTTAATGGAATAACAAAAATAAAACACGACTTTTCTTCATGACATTTTTTATTAATCTTAGAAAATGTAATTAAAAATATCTCCATAATTTCTGACACTCATGCATATTTTCTTTTAAATTGTATTTTAAATCCAAATGGTAGTTGCATGTGATTGACTTGCTTGTTCTAGAGTCCATTTAGACCATATATATATATATATATGTATATATACATATATATATATATATATACAAGAATATATATATATATATTCTTGTCATTGGCACTCAATTATTATTTTAAGATTATCTTCCTCACCAACTCACTAAAATATATTGGTCTTTTTCTATGTAAAGCAATTAATATGCTTAACTATTCACTGCATTTTCCATGATTGTATTAGTACATACATTTTCATTATAGTACATAAGTTATGACATAGAATATGGTGTTTTTATTGAAGTCATATAATCCCTTTCTCAAAAGTTTTAATATATTTTATCATCTAATTCAACATAAGTTAAATGAAAGGAGGCACTCATGAACAACACAAAATTGCATGGTTTTGCTTATGATTCATGACTCATTTGCTTTAGTATGGAATTTGCTCATATGATGAAAAAAATGTTTTCAATTTTTATTCTTAAAAAGATGAAAAATACAAGAGTGCTTAACTACAAAAATACTGGGATTTTGTTGAATTTATGGAGTCTTCCACTTCATATTTTCTTTCCTTTCCTTTTTTATTTGAATTAGAAACAAGCTTCTTTTACATGTTAATCCCAGTTCCCCGCTCCCATCCCTCCTTCCCTGCCACCCACTGACCCCTTATCATAATGCCTTTTTGCTCCCCAGGGAGGGTGAGGCCTTCCATGGGGAAAATCTTGAAAGACTGTCATATCATTTGTATCAGGAACTAGACCCTCTGCAGTGTGTCTAGGCTGAGAGAGAATACCTTTATGTGGAGAGGGTTCCCAAATTCCATTTTTGTAGTAGGGGTCACTACCAGTGGCCCCATAGATTGTCCAGACCTCTAAACTGACCTCCTGGATCACACAGTCTGGAACAGTCTTATGCTGGTTTCCCAGCTATCAGTCTGGGGTCCATGAGCAACTTCTTGTTCAGGTCAGCTGTTTCTGTGGGTATCACCAGTCTGGTCTTGACCCCTTTGCTCATCACTCCTCACTCTCTGCAACTGGATTCCAGAGTTCAGCTCAATGGGTATCACCAGTCTGGTATTGACCCCTTTGCTCATCACTCCTCACTCTCTGCAACTGGATTCCAGAGTTCAGCTCAGTGTTTAGCTGTGGGTGTCTGATTCTGCTTCCATCAGCTACTGGATGAAGGCTCTAAGATGGCATATAAGGTATCAATCTCATTATCAGAGAAGGGGTTTTAAGGTAGCCTCTTTACTATTGTTTAGATTGTTAGTTTGGGTCAACCTTGGACATTTCCCTAGTACCAGATTTCTCTTTAAACCTATAATGGCTCTATCTATTATGGTATGTCTTTACTTGCTCTCCTATATTATTCCCCTGACTCAATCTTTCTCATCTCTCATGTCCTCCTCTTCCAACCTCTTCTCCCATTCTATTTCTCCTAAATCCCTCTCCCCTCCCCCCATGCTCCCAATTAGCTGAAGAGATCTTATCCCTTTTCCCTTCTCCAGGGGGCCATGTATGTCTCTCTTAGGGTCCTTTTTGTTTCCTAGTTTCTCTGGCAGTGTGGATTCTAGGCTGCTATTTATTTGCTATATGTCTAAAATCCATATATGAGTGAGTGAGTACAATTCTCCTCAAATTATTCCACACAAGAGAAGCAGAATGGTCATTGTAGCCTTTTTACAGGGCTACAATAACCTTGGTACCCAAGTCACACAATGTCACAACTAAGAAAAACTACAGGCCAATATCCCTCATGAACATTGATGCAAAATACTCAATAAAATACTGGCAAATTGAATCCAATAACACATCAGAGAAATCATCCAACATGATGAAGTTGGCTTCAACCCAGGGATGCAAGAATGGTTCAACATGTGAAAATTTATCGATGTAATCCACCATATAAACAAACTGAGAAAGAAAAACCACATGATCATATCATTGGATGCTGAAAAAGCCTTTGACAAGATTAACACCCTTTCATGATAAATGTCTTGGAGAGATCAGGGGTAATAGTAACATACCTAAACATAATAAAAGCAATATACAGCAAGCCAACAGCCAATGTCAAACTAAATGGAGACAAAATCAATGTGATTCCTCTAAAATCAGGAATAAGACAAGGCTGTCCACTGTCTCCATACCTCTTCAATATTTCCCTTGATGTTCTAGCTAGAGCAATAAGACAATAAGACAATAAGACAACAAAAGGAGATCAAATTGGAAAGGAAGAAGTCAAATTGTCATTATTTGCAGATGATATGATAGTTTACATAAGTGACCAGAAAAACTCTACCAGGGAACTCCTACAGCTGATAAACACCTTCAGCAAAGTCACAGGATACAAGATTAACTTCATATTTTCAACATAGTTATGTTTATTTATTTGAATTTTAAACCCAATGAAGATAATCCCAGAAGTGAACATCTCACTTGCTGTATTCCTCTGAAAAATCTCCTATACCCTTTGGAAATCTTATATAGTGACTTCAGTAGTTATAATAGAGAATATCAGTACAAATATACAACAGTTTATAATCAGCTAGTTATTTAGTAATATAAATAAGTAGCAAAATTACTTTCAAATACGCAGTCCCCTTAAAAAAATTCAATTGACTGCAAATAAAACTCTACTGTAAAGCAATAGCTACTTCTTAATCTGGGAGAACAGCTGATTAATAGAAAAATTCCCATATTGAAAATAAGCAAGCAAGCAAACAAAAATACTTTGGCAATTTAAATTTAAGCCTTAAAAAATGACAGGGTACCGCATAAACAGTTGTGTTTATGAAAACAAATTTGCTAAACACCTTGGTTACCATTCCTAGAGCCTTCATCCAGTAGCTGTTCGAAGCAGAAACAGGCACCCACAGCTAAGCACTGAGCCATACTCCTGGAATCCACTTGTGGAGAGGGAGGAGGGATGAGCAAAGGAGCCAAGAATGGGCTGAAGCAATCTGCAGAAACAGTTGAGCTGACCTAGTGAGAACAGGTAGACCCTAATCATAAAACTGGGCAAACAGCATTGGCCCTCACTAAGCTCTCTGAATGTGGGTGCCAGCTAGGAGGCCATGACAGTCTATGGAACCTCTAACAGTGAAACTAGTCTTTAAACCTAGAGCACAAATGGACTTTGGGAACCCATTCCCTATGGAGGGATAGTATTGCAGCCCAGATACAGCAAGGAAGGCCTAGGCCCTCTCCCAAATGATATGAGGGACTTTGAAGGTCCCTAGATGAGGGCCTCACTATCCCTGGGGAGGAGTTGGGGGATGGTTGGGAGGGTTGGTGGGGAACACGGGAGGAAGGGAAGGTGAGGCAATGGGGGGGGGTGATTATGGAAATATGAGTAGCAATTAA